CAGCTGTGAAGGGAGCATGAATTGGAGAGGCCTCTGCAAAGCCACAGTGTGACTATAACTGAAAATAATTAACACAGAAAAAAAATAGATACGAGTGAAAAAGACACAAACAGAAGATGACAAAACACAAAGTAACCAGAAATGCAAAAAAGATTAAAATTTAAAATGCAAAATAATAAAAAACTGAAAACCAAAGTGACTAGTGAAATTTAAAGTCCCAAGGATAAGATTAGATAATGCATTGAGACCTGCCTTGGTTGTAAAATTAAAACAACCTGCTGACCCTGAACTAGTTTCTCACCTGCTCGTGCCATTTGTGTTTGATTGCAGCAACGGTGAAGGCTGTACCTCTGTGACCTTTTACCTGCAAACCCACTCAGTAGCTATAAAGAAGATTATAAACACTGAAAGCGATACACTAATTGGGCAATTACGGTAACTTTACAAGATTAAGCAAAATGCTTTACAACTTAACACAGACACAAAATTTATATAATGCCTTGCGCATACAAAACAAGGCATTTCATATGCGTAATATAGACTTGGGGTAATAAACAAAGCACACACTGATGTCTGGCTCTGTTGAGTGCTCTAAATCAAGCTGGAGTAGCAACAGCTATTTATATTTATTGATACGCAATAAAAATTAACAGAAGAGCTGGTCTTAGTCTTTTCATAAAATGCAATCAGTAAGGAACATCCAAAGTCAGGCCAGGACATTTCTTCAAGGAAGTTTTGTCTGTACTTTTCCATCTCAATCTGTCAGTAGAGAGGTTTCCTCCCCGAAGGACTAACTGAAAAACGTGAGACATTTACTGTGTTCCTGCTGACAAACACAACAATAATCTTGCCAGAAGAGATAAAATATTTTTGAGGTTAGCTCATACTAGTAACTCCCACAGTGTGATAATGTGAGTTTAGCTACCACCTGTTATGTCTGTTTAATGCCTCTTTTTTTTCTTTTTTTTTTTTAAATCAACAGCAGCATTACATAAGTCTCAGTTTAATTCCCCAGTAATTAGTGATATCGCTAATTCTAAATGTTTGGAACTTCATTTCAACTAAATAATCATTGTTTGGTGGACAGAACAGAGAAGCTGTAAATATCTATTTAAATATATATATATTTTTTTTATCTTGCTTTAATATGCTGTAATATAGTGGTGGGCTGTCTCGGGTGTGGAATGACACAATAGTTGGGTGAAAAATGGTTTGATATATTTCATCAAAATTAAAATGTTTGTCTAAAAAAGCCTTAACATCATAAAGTTTTATCATGTTCTACACTTGATCATTTTAAGGCAAACAGAAAAACCCTCCATTTTAATTCGAATATTATATGTTCAGTAGTGCAGATTATTATTTATACTTAACCCTTTAATTTTTAGATTGAAAACTTAATTTATCCTGGGTCTCATACATACCCAAAGTCTTTTATGTTATATCAATCCAGTTCCGTATCTATTATATTTATTCTACCTCAGTTTGGGTTAGTAACATTGATTTTAAATGCTTTTGACCTAGAAAACTTGATAATTAGAAAAAGAAACTCAATGTAGCTATTTCCTCATGCTGAGTCTGAGTCAAAGAAACCTTTGCCTTCTTCTCACAGTTCTTCCGCAACACACAAACGCCTGGATACACAAGAGTAAAATTAATTTACTAAATACGCTTAATTACACTTATGATGCAAATAAAGAACTTTAATTTTTTTTATCCACAACTAAGTTTATTTGTATAGCAAACCCACAAGAGAATTACTACTCAGTTTAAAAATGTAAACAAGTCAAAATACAATGGACTGAAATCCACAGTGAAATAAGCCTAAAGCTCTAAGGATATGTCAAAGCAAACAGAAAATCCAGTGAATGAATGAATTCACTTCCTGTTAGACTCACAGCGTGACCACCACCCTCCCTCTTACACAAATACCCAGCAGCCTCTGTCCCGCAAGGCATGCTGGGAGATGATGTTTCGCGGGAGATGGAAATTTCCAAGATATCCGTACAGAGTAGTGAGTGGAAATTTACCCTGCCCTCTTGCTCCTTTTATATAGATAACCATACCTTCCTTTGCAGGCTTTTTTCAATGAAAGTCACCATATTTTACCATAATTTTATTTGTCAGTTGAGAAAATTTGATAATATTAATATCATGATAAAATAGATAAAGCAGCAGTGTTTTTTTGTGTTTACATTATAAGCATAATTGGTTGATAATAACCACATCAGAATGAACTGTAGTTGTAGCAGCTGTGGTAGCAGGGCAAGAAGGCCTAGAGTAGTTTGATTGACTTTCATTCAATTTATTGACAGCCTTACTGGCATACTTTTAAATATCCAAGCAGCAAAAATATCTGATATATTTCACACTAATGCATACAATTACAATATTTAATGCAAATATATGTATATATGCAAAATGTTCACATTGGAACACAAAATAGGATTTTTTTAAATTTAAGATTGAAAGCAGTTATTTAACAAAACATCAAATACACATTGCTTATCATAAATTATGCACTGAAAGGACATGAGTGCCAGTTTTTTACAGTGACAGGTATACTTTATTTGGATCACATGCGGGATTTCTATGGAAGTCTGCTTTGTAAAAAAACAAAAAAAAAAAAAAACAGATATTCCTTAAAAAGTATATTTTCCAATTGGCATGGGCAACATTATTATTATGTGACAAAACCTCAAAAAATCTAAACGGGATTGTGGAGCTGCTGTATCAGTCTATTAATAAAAGATGCAATAATTACCTAGAATTTTCCAGGATTCAAATCTAAACCCAAATTAGATTAAGTGTCAGACTTCCGTAGCCAGAAAGAGCAGGTGTTTCTGGTAGTTTCTCTAAGGCCAAGCAGCTCAGAGATTTACTATTATTACTGAGTTATTCTCAGATAAGCAGCAACCTTTGTGTCTAAGTATAGGGCTGCATGTTTTGAAAATGATATAGTAGTACTCTACAGTTTGCTTGAATAAAAAGTTGGACAATGTGCATTGACAATGAATTATAGAATATTTCCACAAGACAGCAAATACAAGTGACGTTTATTTTAAATACACAAGTGACCAGATATGGGATTAGACCCAAGTAAAACGCACCTGGCCTGGTTCCATCAATTTATTGTGGGATAATACCGGTAAGTAGCTGGAACAACTTCTAGGCACTGTTGGTGCATCCCTTTAATACGTCACGGGTCCACGTGTGGGGCGTGGATTTGTATTGGTTCCTATAAGGAGCACGAGACTGATAGGTTATCGTTGTCTGACGGAGCATCACAGTTGAAGAGGAACTCTTCTTCAGCGGGGGAAACCGACTTATCCGGGCCATATCTACACATTTCGAGAAAACAACCTCTCTTCCTGGGAGGACGGAGTATATTCTTCTTCCTGTTCATCGACTTCAAGGGGCGTGGAGTGGCGTGTTGAAGCGCGTCTATTGAGTGATATTTTTTGCAGTGCAACCCGGTGAGTGTAATCCACGTCTTTAAGTTGATCCCATTTAAAATGTACCGACTGAATATCACTATTAACCCGCTAGGAGTGTGTTTCCAATGAAAGACGCGCGCTCTCTCTCTCTTATCAGCGATTGTTTTAGTAAACCTCGTCTGACAACATCCCTATGCTGACGTCAGTGTATGAAAGCTTTCGTTATCTTAAAGAAAAGACCCGCTTAACGCCACAATTCGGCTTTGCGAGCGCAGGCAAATGTCCCAGCTATGCCGGAGTGGTTATGAATGAGAGATGTAATATTAGGATGCGCGGCATTTTCGCGCGAATGAATGAGCGGCTGTTCTAGAATGTTCTTGCCACCTGATAGGTGGATCCGTGTCTGCTGGTGCTCTGGTGTCGCCTCCTCTTTGTATTCATGGGGCAGTCTGCGGCTGTCATCCGCATCTGGACGTCAATTAAAGCCCCATTGTTCGTTCCATAGCGATACTCTTGCGTCTCGTTTTATTTTGCTCCAAGGCTCTAGCGGAGTTACAGAGCCTCACCTGTGACTAAACAAACAGCAGCACACCCCGTTTCATGCCCTCCACAAGCTGTTTCAATGGGATTAAGTTGTATCACGTTGCTTTATTTGTATTGCGGGGCTGATAGTAACCAAATGACTTAGGTTGTACTGATACGGTTTAAAGCAATTTAACCGTCTGGTGTTCTGCTGAGTTTTTTTTTAAATTTTTTAGGCTTTTGAAGACATAAATTCAAACACGACTGGAAGGTAATTGTTAGCCTGGGATTTAAACTGACAGGAGGAGGAAGGGCAGAAGAGTTGCACCTGTGGTTTGTTGTTATACCTGTTTTATGACGCAGCCTTGTCCTGTCTCTGTGCCACCTGACAATGTCAATGCCATCTCTCGAGCTAAGTTGGGACCCTTTAAATGCATCGCATAATACCAGTGGAGTTATTTAATGTAACTGCAACTAAAACACGTTTGCATTTTGGATTAACTCTGGAGTTTAATCAAGATTTGTTTTGATTGTGTGCCTGTGCACCTTTCTGTTGTATGGGTGTGTTCTTTTTTTAACCTTTTTCTAGGTAGCATGTAGGGCTGTGTAATAATATCAATTTTGCGATATATATCGATATTTTCTTTGCTAGAAAAAAATCGATATTCATCCGCAAGTATCGTAACACCCAACTGTCACCTTGGTCACTCACTGCTTGCTTCTCCGAGAGAGTGATTAGGTCATCAGGCTTAGAGTGATTCCTTCAGATATTAAGTGGCAAGGTTAAAAAGGTATCAAACTATTCAGAGCAGGTTACTTGGTGCACTTTATTTACTTTACAAATGCAAGTAAGCTACAGTTTGTACGGTTTCAATTAAAAGAAACATGTTTTCTCACTACTTCTTTGATTCATTTTGTCCAGCTGTCGACTTTAAGTCTGTGTCCATGTCCAACCAGAGCTAGGTATTGTGTAGCTGGTGCTTTTAATCAGTTTTCAGTTAAATTAATTCAATCCAACTCTATAACAGTCACAAAATGTTACCAAAATCACTCTGTCCCTCTAAAATCTCTCAGAAAATCGCAAAAGTGTATTGAATTGTATCGTTTGCTGAATATAGCAATATATATATCGTATTGTGAGCAGAATATCGTGTATCATATCGTGAGATTATTGTATCACTACAGCCCTAGTGCATTGGGTCTGTGATGCCAGACATTTTTTTTGGCACCATCATAGATAGGCTGGCTTGCACAGACTTGTCCCATAATCCAAACAGAATCGGTTCATTTGCCATCAATGATCTTTCTTTGTGAAACATATTTAGGATGTTAGATAAAGGGTTTCTGAACAGAGCGATTGTCCAATATCAGTTTAAAATGATGCAATACAATTGTGAAATAAACATTTTTTTATTTCTCTTTATGCTGCCTTACTTGTCTGTTAGGAATTCTGACTGAAAGCTCTTTACATGCTTTATTCTGTGCACATGTGTGCAAATAATCATCTGCTTCTTTAGAAATAACTGCCTAAACCAAACATGACAACCATTTAAATATAAATTAATATTGTTTGGATAAACTGCAATGATGTTTTGTGTATTAGAAGTTATTTTTAGACTTGACTCCTCTTGCGCTAGTGGTTATCTTCAGACTTCTGGACCAACTCTTTATACTAAATTAAGTTAAAAGCTTGATTCTTTCTCTATGCAGGCTAACTATTTAATTCTTAAAATAATTCAACAAGAACAGTTTAAATAAAATGTGAGCTACCACATGCATAGAACCGTTACTCTGGCACTGGGGCTGAGTGAGTCGGTCCTGGCAGCATTGGGAAAAATGGTGATTATGTTTTAATCCCGTATTATGTAACTTTGCAAATCAAAAATAAAAATGTATTTACTGAGAATTGTCCCAATGTTTCTGAGCCAGGGTCTCCTAGGCAGTTTATGGCAACCACATGGATAAATAGGCCTTGTTGGTGACTTAATAAAACTGAAAACAAAGACTTCTTTTATTGCATAGAGCATGGTTGTGAAAAAGAAGGCGTGGGGGTTATTTTCTGCTATGTATGGCAGGGTGAAACCTCAGGAGCAGCCAAACATTCAAGTGTTTGTGAGAATGGGGGAAAAAAAAACAAAACAAAAAAACAAACGGATGTGCTCAAACTTCCCCCAAATGTTTTCCTTTTTGCTGACTCTGGATTTTTATTTGATCCATATGATTGTCTGTGTGAATATGTATTGTTCACCAAATATTCACCCGGCAGGAGAAATTTAGACCTGGCATCTCTGTTGAGCGGATGGTCAGTTTAAGAGCATTAGCTGCAGCCATTTATGGAAATCCCCCACAAAAATTGCCTTTGGATTAATTTTTGTCCTGCTGTGAAGCAAATAAGTCTGAGATTTATATGTGAAAGTACTATTTATGCAACTCTTTAAGTCCTAGTGGAGAGTGAAGAGATAAAAACCCGGGGTAAGATGCGTCACCTTCTGCGGAATCTGAGCATCGAGCTGCACATCTCTTGATATCTAAATAACATTCACTGTAATCATAAAGCAGGTAATATACTACAATTTGAGATGCTAATTCTTTAATACATTAGTTTGAACACAAATGTATAGAACATTGGTCACAAACAAATAGAACCTGTCTGACAACATGCAGTAGGCTGTAAGATCTCATCATGATTTTAAAAAAAACATAAGAAAATCAACATAAGAAAAACAAATCCATTGCAACATTTCCCTATAAATCCAATTATACACAATAATGCATAATCCTAATAGCGGTTCAGCAACCGTTTTTAGATCCCGTCACTATATTCCCCAGGACTGTTTGCTATGTTGTAGCTGAGGTAACACATTGACACTGAGATGCTCTGAAAAATATTGTGACTGGGAGGCAAAATAGTTCTACGTAGCTGAACATAGACAGCACCGGTAGCCTACAGGCTACTTGTTAACAAGCTTAAGGTGCTGTATTGTTATTAGCTAGTCATCTTTTAGCTAACATTACCTGCTTCCAGCAACATTACTCAACTCAGTCGGTTAGTTTGGGGGGAAAACTGTGCAAAGGTCTTTGCATTTTGCTGGTTTACTGCCATGATCCTAACACACCTGCGTAGCTCCGCACAGCAGCAGCAGACCTCCGTCGCTGCCGCACAGGTGTAAACCCAGCACGGGCGTCTCAGCGTTCATGTTGGGTTTAAAGACGGCTCGGAAAAACAGGTTACGAAATGTTAATAACGGATTAAACAGTTTTAACTGCTGAAAAAAGGGACGAGGGCACAGATATGGGAAATGCGGAAGTCCCTTCCTATATGTTATAGAAATAACAGACAGTTTGCCACTCTGAGGTAAAAACCGACTATGGTAAAAACAACAAACAGCTTCCAGTCCAAGGAAGCTGACTCTGTGCCCGTCCATGCCGCCGGGCCTGTATTGTGTGAATGCATGTAGGGAGCTAACATAGGTGTGCAGCAGTGTCTTGGAAAAACGTGCAGAAAGTTGTTCACAGTCTCAGTCACAGACAGTGTTGTAAAAAATGCTGTACTGGTAAACACTCACCACAACCACAAGAATGTACACCCCTGATTATTTTAATGGTTCACCCCAATGGGTGGCACTTATCTCTAGAGACAGTTAAGATGAAACAATTTAACAGAAATTCATATAAGAAACCAGATGACTCTGTAACTGATGGTGACATTAATAAGATTTGTTGATAGTAATTTGAATATTACTGTAAGAGTACTGAGTGACAATCTTTATTTCAGTGAAGTCTGAATAAAGATTGTCACTGATGGAGGCATGTTTATTTAAAAAGAGGCATTTTGAGGAACTGTCCAAAAATAAAGGCACACAAGGTGTTCTAGATCTAATTAAAATTATGTATTTTTTGTGTATCTATGGGATTTTCTAAGCGTAGGCATATTCTTAATCCAATAAGGAGTTGCATGACACTGTTTAGAGGACACCAACATGGCCTCATATTAGGGTGTGTAGGAACTGTGTAGCTGTTGCCAGCGGCGTTTTGTGCTTTCTTGACTCAGCTTACATAATATTTCAGCTCTAGCATGGCTCGAGGTTAGTTGTATTTGAACAGACTCGGAAGAAAATCTCAGGAAAGGTAAATCCCTTTTTAGTCCAGGTGGCACTAGAAAAATACAACCGAAGCAAATCCCATTTCACTGAAGGTGCAATTCTTGTTTTTTTTTATGTTTGACATTTCACTATTTACTTTCCTTGTCATTTTTAATATACGTTTTGCTATGTGACCTTGGTGTCGGTACACATTACTCAATGTTTCTCCTGTTGTGAGTTCTAACATGTTTGTGTTCAGTGTTTTTTCCAAGTAAAAGTCATAATACTAATGATGTGTTTCTCTTTCTGTCTTACAGGAGTATTTAATCTTGGCTTTTCTAAACTGGTGACCTACAACGCCCTGCTCAGCCACCAACAAAAACTGAGCCGACAGACTACCTTGTTAATCTTTTTCGACCTGGCAGTGGATCAGTCCCCAGCTTTTGTTTCGACTGAAAACCAAAGCAGCAAAATTTAAAAAAAAAATATTTCTGCTATTTTTTTTTAATAAATCACACTTATAATTCTAAAAAAAAACTTGGACATTTGCTTCTTTTTAAGCTTTAAAGGAATTAATTTGTAAAAATGCATGCCAGGATGGAAGCAGCGGACATTTCAGTGGTTGCACTGTATTTTGTCCTGGTGCTCGCCATCGGGCTTTTGGCCATGTGGAAAGCCAATCGCAGCACCGTGAGTGGCTACTTCCTCGCTGGACGCTCCATGAACTGGGTAGTGATAGGGGCGTCCCTCTTCGTCAGCAACATCGGCAGCGAACACTTCATAGGTCTGGCCGGGTCGGGTGCAGCAAGCGGCTTTGCTGTAGGAGCCTGGGAATTCAATGCAATCCTTCTTCTGCAGCTGCTCGGCTGGGTGTTTATCCCCGTCTACATCTACTCTGGAGTTTACACCATGCCAGCGTACCTGTCGAAACGTTTCGGTGGGAACAGGCTGAAGGTTTACTTCGCCTGCCTGTCTGTGCTGCTCTACATCTTCACCAAGCTCTCCGTGGACCTGTATGCTGGCGCTCTCTTTATTCAGGAGTCCTTGGGGTGGAACCTTTATCTTTCAATTCTTCTGCTCATCAGTATGACTGCTCTGCTCACCATTACTGGTGGACTGGTTGCAGTGCTCTACACAGATACTCTTCAGGCAGTGTTGATGATTGGTGGAGCCCTGACCTTAACCATCATGAGCCTAATCAAAGTTGGTGGACTAGAAGGGGTCAGAACTAAGTATATGCAAGCCATTCCTAATGTCACCGCAATAACGGCTGCTGGAAACTACACATATTCACCATCTTGTCACATTGAACCAAAGCCAAACTCACTGCGCATCCTTCGCGGCCCTCTAGATGAGGATATTCCTTGGCCAGGTTTCATTCTGGGGCAAACCCCTGCATCCATTTGGTACTGGTGTGCAGACCAGGTCATCGTGCAGAGAGTATTAGCTGCTAAGAACATTGCTCACGCTAAGTGCTCAACACTCATGGCTGGATTTCTCAAGATCCTGCCCATGTTCGTGATAGTCATTCCAGGAATGATCTCCCGCATCTTATTTGCAGATGAGATCATCTGCATTGGGCCGGAGCACTGCATGGCCGTGTGCGGTTCCCAGGCTGGGTGCTCGAACATCGCTTACCCACGCCTGGTGATGGCGGTGATGCCGGTGGGACTCAGGGGTCTTATGATGGCTGTCATGATTGCTGCTTTGATGAGTGACCTTGACTCAATCTTCAACAGCGCAAGCACTATCTTCACCCTGGACATTTACCAGTCTCTCCGGAAGACAGCTTCGCAACGCGAGCTGCTGATTGTAGGCCGCATGTTCGTTGTGGTCATGGTGGTAATCAGCATCGCTTGGGTCCCTGTAATCATTGAGATGCAAGGTGGACAGACATACATATACATCCAAGAAGTTGCTGGCTATCTCACCCCACCAATAGCTGCCCTTTTCCTGCTCGGTGTGTTCTGGAAGAGGTGTAACGAGACGGGCGCCTTCTGGGGAGGCATGACGGGTTTCGTGCTCGGTACCATACGGCTGATCCTCGCCTTCTTTTACCGCCAGCCACGCTGTGACCAGCCAGACAACAGACCCTTCTTCATCGTCCACATTCACTACATGTACTTTGCGGCTTCACTCTTCTGGATTTCAGGGTTGGTTGCTGTGGTGGTCAGTCTTTGTACCTCTGCACCGGATGATGAACAGGTGCGCACCACCACAGTCTGGGGGCTCCGCAAGCTGGAAAAGGTTCCCCTGAAGGACAGAGCTGAAAAGTACGGTCTCAGAGAGAAGAACCAATGCAACGGCAGCGAAGTCTACTATAAAGACATTCCTGCAGATGTCAAAATGGAGAGGTGTCTAGATGGAGCTGAGATCAAGCTTCTGGTCCCGTCCACAGACCATGATCCAGCTACTCCCAGCACGGAAACGTCCCCTGCCTCCACCCCTGCTGAGCAGCCTGCTTTCAGCCAGATGGATATGGTCAGACCAGAGCAAGGAGAAAAAGGCCTGTGCATGCGCTTTATTGACTGTTTCTGTGGGTACAAAGAAGAACCACATGGCGCCCCGCAGAAAGTCTCGCAGGAAGATGAGAAGGTGACTGCAGCGATGCTGTACGAATCCCCCAGAGATAAAATCCTTCTCAACCTGGCCCTATTCATGGTCTGCTCTGTGGGCATATTCATGTTTGTGTACTTCTCACTGTAGTTGGACACTGTACAGAACTGTTTAGATATTTTTTTTTGGAATATGTAAGATAAGTGCAAGGTATTTTTGGGCTGTTACAGCAGTAAAAAATGTTTTTTTCACGGATTATAAATTTTGTCTGTAATATTTACAGTTATTTTTCGTAGCTCACTAACAGGCATTTAAGCTTGTTATCATTTTTAAATGAGTTAAGCTTCTCCACGTGAAAAAGAAAAGCAAAACACATTGTACTTCTGTGACTGAATCCTATTGTTAATCTTGCATTTAAAATGTCTACTGGGACTTTCAGAGTTGTTCTATAAGTGAATTTAATATTTGCCTTACTATATATGTTTTTGTTGCATTTGAGGATGGGTTGAAGTATTTATGACCTCTTTAGAAAGGGTGCAAGAGAAAACATCAAGAAGAATTGCTCGGTACTTAACGAATATTGCAAATGCTGCTTATTTTTTTAAAATATAGTTTTAATAGTGATAATTGAAATCTTACTTAATATGTTGCATTTAGAACCACTTTATAGAGTTATAATTAAGAAATGTATCCATGTTTTTCTGCTGATCGGTGTCAGAAAGAGAAGCACAACTTAAAAAAATATATATATATATTTTTGTTATAGTCAAAAATAGACATGGTATAGTTAAGTTAGTCACTTTTGACCAAATTTCAGTTATATTTGGAGCATTATTGCTCTTTCTACTACTTTATACACTTTGTGTTTTACACTATGTTATGTTTGTGATTTTTTGCTATTTTATTGTAACAGAAAGCATCAGTTTTTTTTTATGTCTTGTTGTGTTTGACATTAGACATATAAAGTCTTTTGCAAATCTTTTAGGGCTCATTTTGTTCAAATTGCTTTCATACTAAGCTGTTTATTGTGTGTCCACTGTTTTTAAATATTGTTTGTCTTTTTAAGTGCATTTTCTATGAAGCTCCTACCAAATGTGTCTTATTGTGCAATGGATAAGTGGGGAAAAAAAGAACATTTCCAGAGAGCACAAAAATAGAAAGTATTTTTAAAGTCTTGACTCAACCAGCTTTTTAATGAGGTGTTTTTTTTGTGGCATAAATTGAGACTGATGCTGCAAAACTTAAATATGTCAGGGTTAGCATTTTGTTGGCACAGCTTGCTTCTGACTTTGTCATTTAAATTTTTCTTTCCAATCTGCTGATCTTCTGGATTGTGGTAATTGTTTGAGTCACAACTACAAAAGATATGAAGATATTTAAAGGAAGATCTGAATCAGGTGTTGCCCAACCCTGAGTGCAAAATGTCAGTTTGTGAATGAAATAGGCAAACCCTTTTTCCATGTCAAGACATGTTGGGATGATAAGAGATGATTGCTGTATGGGAAAAAGCTTTAAAAGTTTTTTCTTTCCTTTTTGAGAGAATATACATTGTTATTTTTATTCTAGAGACTGTAAATAAAGTTTCTGTGGAGACCAGAAGGAAGGTGTGTTTTCATTCTTTATTTTCTGAAATAAGTACATTACCCAAGTAAACGTTGTTTGAAAAGCTAACATAATAATAATAATAATAATAATAATAATAATAATAATAATAATAATAATAATAAATTTAATTTGTAATGCACTTTTCATTAATAAAAATCTCAAAGTGCTACATGGTGCAGCTAAAAACAAATAAAATCAACAATAAAAAAAAAAAGACAGTAATTTAAAAGTGGAGTAGGCTTGTCTAAAAAGAAAAGTTTTCAAG